TTTTAGCTGTTTTGTAGTGTTAGGAACACTCATTTACACCTTTTTGTGTAAATGTATCTTTTGATTTCTTTTGGGTATATATCTAGGAAAAGCATTGGCTGGTAATTCTGTGGCTAACCTTTTGAGAGTAGCTGGATTTGGTATATTCCAAAGTCACTGCACCATTTTATATTTCGACCAATAATGTATAAGAGTTCCTAATTTTCCATGTCCTTGTCATTTGCTATTATGTGGGTTTTTAAAATCACATCCAACCTAGTATGTATGAAGTGGTATCTCACTGATTTTTATGTGCAAAAATGACATTGAATATGTTTTTATTTACCTCTTGTCCATTTGTATATCTTCTTTGGAGGATTGTCTATTCAATTTCTTTGCTTATTTGTAATTGGGATATTTATTTGACTTTTTGAATTATAAGTGTTCTTTTTATTTTCCAGATACAAGCTCTTTCTGAAATATTTGTGACTTACAAATATTTCTCCCAGTATGTGGCTTATCTTTTCACCTGTAGTTCATTATTTTCTAATTTCATTCCATTGTAGTAGGAGAATATACTCTGTATTATTTTAATTCCTTTGACTTTGTCACGTTGCGCCAATCCGAAGCAAGGAGCCAGGTGCTTCCTCCTGGTCTCCCATATGGGTGCAGGGCCCAAATACTTGAGCCATCTTCCACTGCCTTCCCGGGCCATGGCAGAGAGCTGGACTGGGAGAGGAGCAACCGGGACTAGAACCCGGGGTGCTGGCATTGCAGGCAGAGGATTAGCCAAGAGAGCTGCGGTGCCGGCCCAATTCTTCTAAGTTGATCTTCCTAGATGTTCTATAAATTGTTGAGTGTGATTTATTTAAGTATCTAACTACCTTAGCTTAATTCTGACTGTTTCTGCTTCATATATTTTGAGGCTCTGTTTTAGGTGCACATACTATCCTTGTTTATCTCACTACTATTTTTAAAAATATGTTCATCTGATACTACTTAAGCTAATATCCAGCTGTCTTTGATTGCTGTTTGAATAGTATATCTTTTTATAATATTTTGCTTTCAGTCGATTTGTACCTTTTAACCTAAATTGTGGCTCCTGCAGATAACATACAGCTGGATCATATTTTTTCCCATATGAAAATTTCTATTTATCTCATTCAACTTTAGTGCTACTATTGATGTTGGATTAATATACACCACTTAACTTTTTATTTCCTGTAGCTATTTTTGGTTATTTCTCTGTTCCTGATTACTTGTTTCTTTTCCATTAAGTATTTTCCAGTATAACATTTTATTTTTTTAAGATTCATTTATTTATTTGAAAGAGTTAGAGAGAGGGAGAGTAAGGGGCAGAGAGATATGTTCCAACCACTGGTTCATTCCCCAAATGGTCACTTTGGCCAGCACTGAGTCAGGCCTAAGCCAGAGGCCAGGAGCTTTCCCAGGGTCTCCCACGTGGGTGCAGGGGCCCAAGGACTTGGGCCTTTTTCCAGTGCTTTCCCAGGTACACTAGCAGAGAGCTCTATCAGAAAGTGGAGCAGCTGCAACTAGGATTAACATCCATTTGGGGCTGGCGCCGCGGCTCACTAGGCTAATCCTCTGCCTGTGGTCCTGGCACCCCGGGTTCTAGTCCCGATTGGGGAGCCGGATTCTGTCCTGGTTGCTCCTCTTCCAGTCCAGCTCTCTGCTGTGGCTCAGGGAGGCAGTGGAGGATGGCCCAAGTGCTTGGGCCCTGCACTGCATGGGAGACCAGGAGGAAGCACCTGGCTCCTGGCTTCGGATCAGCGCAGCGCTGGCCAGCAGTAGCGGCCACTTGGGGAGTGAACCAACGGAAGGAAGACCTTTGTCTCCCTCTCTCTCTCTCTCACTGTCTAACTCTGCCTGTCAAAAAAAAAAAAAAATCAAAAAGAGTTACGGAGAGAGAGAGGAGAGAGAGAGAGAGAGTCTTCTATTGTATGGTTCACTCCACACGTGGCTGCAACAGCTGAGGCTGAGCCAGGCCGAAGCCAGGAGCCAGAATCTTCTTCCCATGTGGGTGCAGGGGCCCAAGGACATGGGCCATCTTCCACTGCTTTTTCCAGGCACATTAGTAGGGAGCTGGATTGGAAGTGGAGTAGCCAGTACTAAAACCAGCATCCCATATGGGTGTTGGAGGCAGTGGCTTAATCTGTTACACCACAATGCCAGCGCCTCATTAATTCTTTATATATTTATGTATTTGTGATTACTTTTCTATGTGTTATAAGCACCACAGAACAATTATGTACTTATAGTTGAATGCAATTTCTTTTTAAATTAGAGAAGAAGAAATATGAATATTTCTTAGTTGTGTAATTCTATTTACTGATGGGTTTTTTGGTGCAGATTTAAAATACCATCTGGCATTATCTGCTTTATGCCTGAAGAACTTCTTTCAATGTTTCTTATACGGCAGCATAGTTGGAAATAAATCTCCACGTTTGTTTTAATTTACTGTATATATCTTTATTTTGGTTTCATTTTTGAAAAGCAGTTCTACTGAATGTATAATTCTTGAAAGACTTTGAATATATCATTCCATTCCCTTCTTGCCTCCATTGCTTATGAAGAAAAATCAGCTGTTATTATTAGTGAAGTTTCCTAGTAAGTGATGGTTTGATTTCCTCTTACTCATTTCGTGATTCTCCTTGTCTTTTATATTTTTGCAATGATGTATTGGGTTTGGGTTTCTTTATGTTTGTCATGCTAGGAGTTTGCTGAGATTCTTGGAAGTTTAGATTGATATTCTCCATTCATTTTAAGAAGTTTTTAGCCATCATTTCTTTGCATATATTTTCTACTAATTTCTTTCTTTATTCACCTATCTATACTCCCATGATTCACATTAGCAAACCCTTAGTGGGTGGCAGTTTCTCTGAAGTTCAGTTCATTTACCTAAATTAATTTTTGCTGTATTCTTCATATTGAATATTTATTGTGTTCAAATCCATTGATTTGTTTTGCCAACTCAAATATTCTGCTGAATCCCTCCAGGAAATTTTTCATTTCAATTATTGTACCTTTCAACTACAGAATTTCCATTTGAATTATAATTTCTATATATTAAATCTTCTGTTGGGTATGACATTGCTGTCATATTTTCCTTTAATTCTCTGAGAGATTTCCTTTAGTTTTTGGAATGTAGTTATATTAGCTATTTTAAAAGTTTTGGGGTTTTTTTTGTATCTAAGTATGACATCTGTATATGTTTTCCCATCATGTCTATGAGTTGCATGTTTCATTTCTTTGTATATTTTATAAATTTCTTGTTAAAACAAAACATTTTATATAACAGGCATGTCGGATACTGATTTTCTACTCATAATCATTGTTGTTGTTTATTTCCTTATTTGTTTAGAGAGTTAGCAGACTATTTTAATGAAGTCTATTCTAGAATAATGTATGATGTTCTTTTCAGAGGCAAAGCCTGAGGCTTTTGCCCAGGAACCTGAAATATTAATTTTATCAAAGCTTACTTTGCCTGTCTCTTTTCCTAATTTCTCTGTTAAACTACCTGCCTCATTTTCTATCATTAAATGTTGCCAGCCTCTACTAATTGCAATGATTGCTTTATTGTTTTCAGTAATTCTCTGAGGGCATAAATCAGTCCACTCTACAATGGTTGTCTTTGAGTTCAGTATTGAGGTTTGTTTTAAAGAGGACTTTTATTTAAAAATATTTATTTATTTATTTAAGAAAGAGAGAGAGAGAGAGAGAGAGATATCTTTTGTCCACTGGTTCACTCCCCAAATGGTCACAATGTCCCAAACTGGATCAAGTCAAAGCCAGGATCCAGGAGCTTCACCTGGATCAGCCACATGGGTGGCAGTGTTCCAAGGACTTGGCCATCTTCTGCTTTCCCGGGTGCATTAGCAGGGAGCTGGTTTGGATGTGTAGCATCTGGGACATGATCCAGCACCCATAAGAGATGTTGTTTTTGCAGGCAGCAGCTTAACCTGCTGTGCCACAATGCTGTCCCAAGAGTGGCCCATTTTTGAAGGAATGTCTATCTTGCTTTATGAGTACAGAGAGCTGGAGAGGCATCCTCCAGTCTTCTTGGCCTCCTATCCTGATGTATAACCTCCATCCATGAACAAGCTGGATAGAATGCTCTCAGAGGCAATTTATTCTTAGTCCACTGCACCTGGATCAAACTTTCACCTGTGAGAAGAGGCCGAATGGAAGTACAATACCTCTTGATCAGTCTTGTGTAGAATAGAAGTCCTACAACAGGGAACTGGGGAGATCAGAGGTACTGTCAGCCTGTACTACTTCCCAAGTATATAATACTGCTCTCAACTGAGAGGTCAGGGAGGAGGAGTCCTATGTTGTTAGTTACACCTACCAAAGAGGAGCCCTGTTATCCTGAGGTGGGAACCTGAGAAGGGAGTTGTTTGGGGCTGAAATGCCACAAACTCTTTCTTATTGAGATTTATTAGATTTTCTTGAATAAGTGGTTCTTCCTTGGCTATATTGCCTTAGTGATTTCCAAAAAAAATTTCTCCTTGTCCAGGATTTCAATTTCTCAGGTAGGTGAAACAAACAATTCATAAATTGCCAATTGTGCCCTCTTCATGTCATCTTTCTTTGTCCTGCCTGAGATGTGAATCACCCCTTTGTTCAGCATATGCACAGTATATACTCTACCTGCCTGTTAGTATTCAGGCGTCATTATGCCCTTGCAGGTACTTCTGATCTTTAATGAGATGTTTTGTAATTGTGACAATGCATAGCAAGTTCTAGTCCTCTAATGCTAATGTCAATGTTAAGACCCCCTGTTAATATATGAGTAACTGGAAACTCAGGATCACACAGCAAAGAATGGCACAATGGGGACATCAATCCCTGACAAACTGATTGCAAAGCCCTTGTGTTTAATCACCCCAATTATTACTTCATATTGCTCTAGTGTTAACCAATGCTAGAAAAATTCATTTAATACAACATTTTTCAAAGTGTCATCCAGGGATTCATGAGGGCTCTCAATACCATTTCAGGAATTCATGAACCTATTTCAAGAAAAACGTTTTCATAATATGAAGACATTATTTGCATTTTTCATTGTGATTCTCTCATTGGAATACAGTCGAATTCCTGGTGGCTACATCACTCTGACTAGGAAAGGTAGGTGTACCTGTATAATCTTTTATCCTGTCTCTCAGCTTTTATGGCTAATGTGCTAATGTGTTAAAAGTTGTAGATGTTGCCAGCTTAATAGGCTAATCCTCCGCCTGCGGCGCTGGCACCCTGGGTTCTAGTCCTGGTCAGGGCACCAGATTCTTTCCCGTTTGCTCCTCTTCCAGTCCAGCTCTCTGGAGTGCAGTGGAGGATGGCCCAGGTCCTTGGGCCCTGCAACCGCATGGGAGACCAGGAGAAGCACCTGGCTTCTGGCTTTGGATCAGCACAGCGCGCTGGCCGCAGCAGCCATTTGGGGAGTGAACCAATGGAAGGAAGACCTTTATCTCTCTCTCTCACTGTCCACTCTGCCTGTCAAAAAAGAAAAAAAAAAGCTGTAGATGTAATCCATATGAATAAAGGATCTTTGGAGTCCCCAATTTCTAAAAATGCAAAAGAGTTCTTAGGGGAAAAAAAGCTAACTTGAGAAACACTGAATTAATGAATGTAACTCTGTTTTATAGAATCACCATTCTATTCTGTATTTTTTTAAGTATGTGCTTGACTTTTGTTATATTGTATATATCAGATATATCATGCAATATTATTCTTTCTTATCTGACTTATGTCACCATAAACCTAACAAATCACTCTGTATTATTACAAATGGCAGTATCTCCTTTGCTAAGGCTGAGTAATTTTCTACAGTGTGTGTATATCATAACATACAAGAAAAATATTTGGAAAGCATTGAGTCAACATAATGTACAATTTTGTAATTTTACTTCATAGAGAATAAAAGGAGTCATTTCACTTATGATTTCATATCACTAAAATTTACTATAAGAATTTTACAAGTTCATGTTTTTTTTTCTTAATTGCCTTTGCCTATCTTGAAGTTTAAGACTAAATTAAGTGTGTAATTGCAGTGACACTAAAGCCAAGTTGCCTTATGACATTGTTTCAGATACTTTTTTCAGATATTTAATTGTTCTATGTTATATGTGCTTTGACATTTTTGACCATAGAAATAGCTGTAAACATTCATTTTGCAAGTTCAGTACATTTGTTGTGATAATAAAAGTGATCTAAATTAACACTTCTAAATCTATTTTTCTCTAGTCATAAAAAAATATCTTATGAATCCATATGAAAATATTGTATGAGTGTGGGACAGTGGATGTATCATTTTCTGTAACAGTGTGTTTTGTGAGAGTTTCCCAAAAGGAAAGAAAAACATAGCTGGTCTATACTTTTAATAAAGGCTTTTCTGTTTATCAGGAGTTATAGTAGTTTCATCACATTAATTGAAACTTAATCCCTAAGGAAATATAGTAGTATTCACATCTCAGTCTATTCTACTGAAGGTTTGAGAGTCCAGGGCATTAGGCTGACCCCTGACAGTCACTGGTTGAAGGCTGTATTAGTCTGCTAGGGTTGCACCAACAAAATACAGACTCAATGGCTTTTTTTTTTTACAACAGAAATTTATTTTCTCACAGTTCTGTAGTCTAGGAGACTAACATTGAGGTGTTGACAGGTTTCTCCTGAGACCCCTCTCCTTGGTCGTCGATGGCAGCCTTCTTTCTCCCTGAGTCCACATGAGGCCTTTTGTGCTCATACATCATGGTGTCTTCCTGAATTCACATTGCCTCTTTTCTTGAAAGGTCACCACTCAGATTGGATAAGCTTCATTTTCACTTAATCACACTTTCAAAGCCCTATTTCCAAAGCATAATCAGTTCTGAAATACTAGGGGTTAGGGTTTCAACATGACTTCTTTAAAAAAAAATATTTGAAAGGCAGAGTTGCTGAGAGAGACAAGGACAGACAGACAGAGAGGTCTTCTGTCTGCTGATTGACTCCACTGATGGCCCCAATGGCTGAAGCTGGGCTGGTCTGAAGCCAGGAGCCAGGAGCCAGGAGTTCCTTCCTACATGGGTGCAGGAGCCCAAGCATTTGGGCTGTCCTCTGCTGCTTTCCCAGGCACATTGGCAGGGAGTGTATTTCAAGTGGAACAGCTGGAATTAGAACCAGCACACATATATGAGATGCCAGTGCCTCACACAGCAGCCCAACCTGCTATGGCACAGCACTGGCCCCTCAGCATGACTTTTGAAGGGGACACAATTTAAACCTATAATAAAGGCTGTGGGGAGAGCAGGAGAAGACATTATCTTCAACCTCTGACGTGGGCAAGGCAGGCTTAAGCTGCCAGTGTGAATACATAACAAAGAAGGGCATATGTTTCCAGCTGAAGGCAGCCCAACATTTATTTCTAGAACTGTGATGGCGAAAGGATAAGGGGAAAAAAATAACATGTGGCACCTCTCCAAACAAAATTGCAAGTGTTTTAAAGTGGGCGTTATGAATTCATATGTACAGTCCCTTACTCCAGAGAGTAACAACTGCACACATGTGTACACTTAAACAAATATACCTAGATACATTTGGTATAGGTACCAAGATCTAAGACTAAGTGCGACATTCAAAGGAATCATGTTCTATTGCGCCATGTAATGAACAGTGTGATATAAGTTCACTTAAGTGAGAGGGAGAGCAATGGAATATGGTGCTTTGGAGAGGATGGAAAAATATCTAGTTATATACAGGAATATACAAATAATGAAGGCTTTATGAAGCCTGAGATGAATCTTGGAAAATGAAGAGATACCCATAAAAATGGCAAGAAAATTCAGACAGAGAAGGGGAAAGAAATTTGGGGTGGAATAAGGCGTGATAGATCAGATTGTGCAAAGATGGGATGGTGCGTTAGTGTACTTAAACATCAAGTTGCAATGAACAGGCATCTTTCAGTAGAGATGCTGATGGAGACAGCAGCACTCATCTCCACTTCTTATATTCTAAACTATCATCGGAACTTGCAAGTATTCCTTACTCAGCAATGCGTTTGGAGGCTTCCCTGCCACTGCATTCTTTTTTCCTCAGAGTTGCAAGAGTCGGGTGTCAGAAAAGGCAAAGTAAGGCTTTCTCTGCAATTAGGAGAAAGTAGTTAAAGGAGGGCTCGCTCTCTCTCTCTCTCTTTCTCTCTCTCTCTTTCTCTCCCTCTCTGGAGAAACCAAAGCTGCTGGCTGCTGAGAAAAAGCAGACAGAAGGATTTTTGATGCCAAGCTGGCTTGAATCCCAGAGTCATGCATATTCCTCCAAAAAGGGGGCTTTGACTCCAGGCTAAGAAACCACACTATGTTAGCAGGGAATATTCTCATCAAAGTGTGAGCATTTGCATTTAATTTACCATTTTGCTCCATCCCAGGAGAGCTTTTTTAGTTATTGCAAAAATGTAAGACACTCTGCCCCTGAAGGGGAAAGAAAGACTCATCCATTTGCCTTTTGAGACTTAAAGCGGTGCGATTCCACAGTTACCTCAGGCTTGGGTGTTACTAGCTTACTGGATAAAAAGCAATCTGTTTCCTTATGGTGCATGCGGATATTGAGGTGTTGTCTACTCTAAAAAGCAAACAACCTGAAATGATAATGTCTAAATGTGCATGGATTTTAATATTTGTAAGGTTTAATGCAAAGGTAGCTGAAAGTCAGCACTAATTACCCAAGAGTAACATCTTAATCCGTAAAGAAGACTAGAAGAAAAATAAAGAGAAAGAGACTGGGAAATTCATGTTCAATTCTGCCTAGGATGTTACCAGACTAGACAATATGTTGCTGAACCCATATTGCATGGAGAATCCCTTTACTAAAAAAAAAAAAAAAAAAAAAAAAAATCTTGTTCTTTTATCTGAAACTTAATTTTTAACTGAGTGTCCTATATTTTTGTTTAGTAAGTAACTACACACCTAGGTCACTCAATTCTAATTGGAAATACTAAAACTGAAGCCAGGATTGCCTATTAAAAGCTTATACCATAAATAATTGTGCACAATTTTTAGAAATATATCTTATGTTTTATATTTAGTATTTTCTTCTCTAACCCATGGAAAATGCTGTTGAATTGGGGTGTGTTAATTTTATCACAGTTAAAAGCCCAGAGTTTTGAATTGCTAAGATCTAGCTGCAATTTTATGCTCTTCCATTTGTCAGCTGTGCAATTTTACTCATGTTACTTTCTGAATCTCAGTTTTCTAATTTGTAAAATGGGTTGGTATTTTGGATCTACCAATATGTGAATAACACAAGCTGACCAAGTGACTCAAACTTGGCACTGTGTGAAAAGTTAAACTTTTTTTTTTTTTTTTTGACAGGCAGAGTGGACAGTGAGAGAGAAAGCCAGAGAAAAAGGTCTTCCTTTGCCATTGGTTCACCCTCCAATGGCCCCCGCAGCCCGCACGCTGCGGCCAGTGCACCACGCTGATCCGATGGCAGTAACCAGGTACTTATCCTGGTCTCCCATGGGGTGCAGGGCCCAAGGACTTGGGCCATCCTCCACTGCACTCCCTGGCCACAGCAGAGAGCTGGCCTGGAAGAGGGGCAACTGGGACAGAATCTGGCACCCTGACCGGGACTAGAACCCGGTGTGCTGGGACCGAAAGGCGGAGGATTAGCCTAGTGAGCTGCGGTGCCGGCCTGAAAAGTTAAACTTTAATTCTTTCATTTTCATTGAATCTTCATAAGAAAGCCCTGAGAGTACAAACAAGGACTGGCTCCATTTTTTTGTGTTTGCTGGTAGATATTTAAGTGTCTTTCATATCAGGGAAAACTGATAAGAAAGCCTGAGTGTTCCTTTGGTTGGTGCAAGGATAGAACTGTAACCATGGCAGCCCCACTCCTTAACTGTTGTAAAAATCCGAAGCCAATTTCCATTTCCTGGTCTTTCAAGTCATTTGGGGACCAACTTGGGAATTTACTCTGAGCATTTCAAATTCTCTCTCTCTCTCTGTGTGTGTGTGTGTGTGTGTTTGTGTGTGTGATGCCCTTAATTCACATTTGAACCACATGTTGAATGGAAGTTTATCTTAGTCTGTTTTCTGCTGCTATAAATGAATGCTTCAGACTGAGTAATTTACACAATATTAAGGGTTTTATTGTTGTTGTTT